AACTCACTTTTCAACGGATACCTTTCAACACAGATTTTATGTCCAGGTCGTGTGATGAACAAAACATCTCCTAAATTGATCATATACTTATTGACTTATTCCTCCTTCGTCACATCGATCAGTGTACAAAGCCTTCTAGTGAAGGCAGTCCAGCACATCTTTACCAAATTATTATTAATTTCATTTTTCAAATATGTAAGTTAGTGAGGCTTAGTTGAAAGAATTAAGTCAAGATGATTACGTCAAGAAGAAAATCTCCATTGTTGTTGCTGTAAACGATATTCACGTTCGAGTTGCTGCCTTATTTTGTTATGACATAACAAGCTGTGTATACCGAAACACTCTTCAGGCTCTCTTCACCTTTTCCATGTCTTCAGGCAGGAAGGCCAGGGAACATTCGACTCCTAAAGATAATTGATAAATGGTAGAAAGGTCAAATCTGACTGGCATGACGTAGTTACAAGCACAGTTTCTTTAATAAGTTTTGGAAGGAGTTGATGTGATATGATAACGTACATAAATACTGAGTGGAGTCTGGGTATCTGTACTTGTTTGTGAATTTATGATGAATTGCAGTTAAATAACCCAACATCACCAGCATGGCGGTCCGCTTCACCCCCCCCCCCTCCGGGTTCACTACAACACTCATACCATCATCAGAAGTCAGAACAGGGCATCTTTTTAATAGGTGGATGAGACGCGTCATGTTAACCCCACACTGGTTAAATTGAAACAACAATAATGGTTTTTATTTACCCTTTCTTCTTTTTATTTGTTTTTATTTATTTACTTTACTCCTTTACTTCTTCTCTAATTCTCTTTTCTTATTCTTAGTTCTTTATTCTCCTTGTTGTATACTCGTGAGATGGTGTGGCTAGGTTGAGGGGTGTTCAGGAATGTGATAGGGTAACAAGGGGAGGTGGTTGTGGATAGTGGTGAGGCCGACAGTAGGCCCTCACACCAGAGGGTAATCTTCGTTTATTAACGACTGTAATGTTAACGTTATGACGTCTCGCACTCAGGATGGGTTGGAGAAGGGACACTCTTAATGGCAGTTTTCTTATATAAATATATTATATATAAAACAGTCTGGTGCTGGAAAGTTGCTGTGTGGTAGAGGAGTTGCTGTGCAGGAGCTTCTTTAGAGGAGGTGTTGTGTGTTGCAGGGCTCTAGGTAGATTGGACTTCACGGCAAGGCTGGGAGCTTATATACACGTCCACCGGAAGTAAAACCGGAAGTAAGCGTCGCCGGTGTCGACCCCCCCCCCTTGCGGGTCTAGACGGCTAGGCTTGTCAGAGAAATTTCGTCGCGGGATCGGCTGATCAGTGACTAACGGCAGTGGCAGTTGTAGGGGAGAGTATCCACTACAATACTCCCCCTCCCCTCCGAGTGCTGCAGGAAACTTGTCGGCAGGGTTGCATTCCACATGCGAGACATAACGGGCGGGGGTGTGAACCACTCGGCCGCTACAGGTGACGACTCTGTCTAGGGACACGAGATCTGTGGGAGAAGCAGAGGGAGAAGGAGGGTTGTGGATAAGACAAGGTTGTACAGGCAAGGAATGTGGTGCTTCTCTAGCGGCAAGTGCAAAGTCCTCATGGGTGCCGCGTGGGGTATCTGGGCCATTAAGGCCGGATGCAGGACCCTCATCAGGAGCAGTGTCCACGTCAGGAGCAGGGTCCATATCAGAAGCAGTAGGTACCTGAGGATGAAAAGAGGGTACGCAGAAATGTTGTGGGCGAGGTGGTGCTGCAAGTGGCAATTGTGGGCAGACAGACGAAGGAGGTGCGGGATGAATGTGTTTAGGGTGATGGGAAGGCTGGCGTGGGGCAGTAGCCTTGAATGCAGAAACTGCCTGTCGTAGTGTTTGCAGTAGGTCGTGACGGGCAGCAGGAGTGAAGTGATCAAGGTCAGAAGTAAGGCATGTGATGTGCTGCTTGATAGTGTCAGAGGTTATGGAGTCTACCAATCCCCGTCGATGTCGCTTCCTCGTGTAGTTGCAAGGAGCCTCACAGCATCTAGCGTTTGTACCAAAACGATGATGGTACCAACAAAGGGGAGGTACACTGTGCTGGGGGCTGACGGCGGGGTGTGAGGCAGGACGGGGATGTTGGGGTCGGTAGGACACAGTGCGTGGGGCAGGAACAGGAGCAGCAGCAGGCATGGAGGAGCAAAGCTGCTCGAGGGTGTCCATCCTGCGGTGTAGAGATTGTAGCAGGTCCCTCAAGTCTTGTTTGTCTGGTAGAATACTACTTCTCTGAGGAGCGTTGATCTGGTTGACGAGACCGGAGCTAAGTGATGGTGTGGCCACTGAGTTGTTCGCGGCAGCATGGCGCACAGCAGTGTATTCGTGGAATACTCTGTCTGCCGTGGCTGCATAGGTCGCCGAGGTAGTAGAGTAGTCTAATGCTGAGAGGACGAGACGAACTTCTGCAGGGAGCTTCTGAGTGTGAAGCTGGCGCAGGATAGTGTCAGGAAGCCTGTCTGTGTGGCGGGAGTTCAGTCTCCGCATCTCGTCCCTGAGACGTGCAGACGTTGAGTTGCCGAGGAAGAGGCCGGATAGGTCTTGCAGGAGACTGGTGCCAGGCTGCTGGTATCGCCTCTTGAGAGCATCTCGTAGAGCTGCGAATTTGTTGTCATCTAGGGGCTTAGTGATGACTTCTGCAACTTGTGTGGCGATTTATGTTGGCAGGGAACAGACCAGGGCGACGTACTTCTGTTCGTCTGTAGCTGTTGAGCCGATGAGAGCTGTCTACATGTGGATTAGCCAGTCTTCAATGTTGTGATTGAAGACTGGGAGAGTGATCCGTTTCTCATCCATCCTGTGTGAGTCCGTTTCTCCGGGGGTCACCATTGTGGGGTTTCGTGATGTTGAATCGCACTCAGGATGGGTTGGAGAAGGGAAACTCTTAATGGCAGTTTTCTTATATAAATATATTATAAACAAAACAGTCTGGTGCTGGGAAGTTGCTGTGTGGTAGAGGAGTTGCTGTGCAGGAGCTTCTTTAGAGGAGGTGCTGCGTGTTGCAGGGCTCTAGGTGGACTGGACTTCAAGGCGAGGCTGGGAGCTTATATACACGTCCACCGGAAGTAAGCGTCGCCGGTGTCGACACCCCCCCCCGCGAGTCCAGACAGTGTACCTGTCAAGTGAGATGACCTCTGACACTACGAAGAGAGGATGTAAGACTGTTTCTTTGACAAGTCTTTGCTGCATATATGCTTGTATGCTGGACGGGTCAAGTTTCCGTGCATTGGAGATATTCTGTGTTGCCCAAAAAATAGGCAACTTAACTGCAGATGAGTTTGCTAAGTATAGATTGTAGGTGTTGCGTGTAAGCTGTAACAGAAGCGAGACGACACCTGGAAGATTTTGAAGTGCTGTCAAAGCGATGTATGACTGTAAGTCCAAATCCACACAACTTTCGTGGAAAAAATAACCCAGCAAGCGTCTGACAGATTAATGGGGCGACAAAGACCTGCTTGTAAGAAAAATTATGAAGGGACATCAGGAGGGGTGGAGGAGACATGTTCAATGAGAATGTAGGGGATGGGTGGCTCCAGGAAATTTCGGTACACCACATACAATTGTGACGGGATTGTTCAACTTACGATGTTGTTTGCACGCTGAATGCCAATGCTGGGCTGTATAGAGAAGGTCATAAAATAACTATAGAGGAGTGTATAAACTATTAAGTAAGAGAATGAGCACGGCACTGAGAAAATTAGTAAATAAGACTATGACTGAAAGCAATGACAATGATGGTCAGCGTCAGAAAGTGCTTAAAAGGCAAGACCTAAATTCCTAATTAATCCTTGCATAATAGGATTTGGAAATATTGTCCAATGGTAAAAATCTTAACAAACCCATCCTATACTTTGCTGTAACACAGTCAATCTTGAATTTCAACATGGGGAATGAGGTAGGCGACCTCGGTAAGGAACTAAGGATCGACACAACGAGAGAGGTAATTGCATTGCTGAAGAAGTGGGACGTACAACGGGAGATCCTCACATCACCAAAGCCCCCCCCCCCCCAAAAAAAAAAGAAGAGAAAAATTGTTGCCGAGCCATACTATGGTGCCAGTGAAAGGCTCATGGATCTTAGCTTCGAGATATTGTTGAGAATGAGGAAGGGGCCCATCGCAGGTAAAATAAAACCCTCATTCAAGAAGACATTATTTTCCTCCAACGACGAGGTTCGATATGAACACCACGCTTATATTAAGATACTCCAACACATCATACAACCCCTCGCCACAAGTATAATACAATGCACACCGATAATTTGCTCCATACTGACGTTTACTGTAAAACTGAGACGGTCGTTTTCTCGTAGTGTTGTAAGTTACTGGTGCTGCTCAGACTATAGCTCCACTCTTTATTGTCCGATTCTTATGATTTTTGTTTTGCCTTAATCCTTATACATTTTTTGCCGCATATATTATGTAAACTGCTATATTTCCTTCCGTTACGTTTATACAGATGTATATTTGAACTTAAAACTTTGATGCTCTCTTTTTATCCATTTTATTTTGTTCGTAAGTTATCGGTGCTTTCAAGATTTCAATTCTACTATTTATGATCCGATTCTTGTGATTATTTTGTTTTCAGTTGTTCATTTCAATTCCATTAAAACTTAGTAATTGGTGACATAGGGAAGTAAACTCACAGGAATATATTGGCAAAGCACTAAATATTTCAAGGAATAATTCTAAAGTCATAATTTCAAACGGTTCTTGAGATGTTTTGAGTTGAAGAGGTCCATTAATTTTATAATTATATATCTTAAAATTTTATATATAAAGAGTTAAGATTTGGTCTAGCTATGTTTCAATGCACATATTCCAAGTGAAAATCAAAAATCAAAATGATAGTTTAATATTTAATGCACCCTCTCAGAGTGAAATGCTCAGCAACCCTTAAAGTTGAGGGGGTACCTGTACATTCATAAGCGCTGCAGTTAGCATAATCCCCCAACAGGCTTCCCTACAACACTCACGATCAGCAGAAGTCAGAACAAGGCAGCAATTTAGCAGGGGCAGGAGGGATAGCAGATGGACGAGGCGTGCCATGTTGACCCCACACTGGCAACAAGAACACTGCACGTAGGGGAGCCGGCTCCCTTGCTAGTGGTGATAAACTTATCTTATCCGTGATAACGGTATCTATTAGTTTTTCATTATTGGCAAAAATGACAACACACACCCATGGAAAAATCACGCAATCATTAGTGACCTACCCGCATGGCAGACATGCACAAACATGCACACACCTCGCCCACAGTAAAATACCTAAGCTGTTCATCAGAACTCTGAAGAACACAGCTGGGGTACTGACACTGTGGCATATGATACTAGACCCCTCTATACTGAGACGCTGTTGTTCTGACAACTAAAACTACCAGCACCATGCTGAGACACTGACACTGTGACAGGTGACACCATACTGAGGTGCTGATGAACGTCCTCATACCAACCAAAATATGACATATTTATACAATATTGCATCACGGCCTTGTGCGTGTTGTAAGTGTTTGTGGTGGTTTATAAGAACTGATGAGGCCCCAGAAAGAGCCATGTCCGCTACTGACGAAGCACTTGCAAAGGCCACATCCAATACTGACGAGGCGCCAACAGGAGCCACATCCACTACTGACGAGGCACCAGCATGAGCCACATCCACTACTGACGAGGCACCATTAGGAGCCACATCCACTACCGACGAGGCGCCAACAGGAGCCACATCCACAACCGACGAGGGCCAAAAAAGAGCCACATTCATTTCTGACGAAGCACCAACAGGAGCCGCATCCGCAACCGACGAGGCGCCAGCAAGGCACATCCTCTGACGAGGCACCATCAGGAGCCACATTCACCTGATACCAAAAGAGCCACATTCAACAGGAGACGATGCCACATCCACTACCCAACAGGAGCCACATTCACTACTAACGAGGCACCATAAGGAGCCACATCCACTACCGACGAGCCAGCGGCGAGGCGCCAGCCACATCCACTACCGACGAGCCAGCAGGAGACAGGAGCCACATCCACTACTGACAGAGAGCACCATCAGGAGCCACATCCACTACCGATGAGGCGCCAGCAGGAGCCACATCCACTACCGACGAGGCACCAGCAGGAGCCACATCCACTACTGACGAGGCACCATTAGGAGCCACATCCACTACCGACGAGGCGCCAACAGGAGCCACATCCACAACCGACGAGGCACCAAAAAGAGCCACATTCATTACTGACGAAGCACCAACAGGAGCCACATCCATTACCGACGAGGCGCCAGCAGGAGCCACATCCACTACTGACGAGGCACCATCAGGAGCCACATCACGCGATGAGGGCACCATCAGGGAGCCCATCCACTACCGACGAGGCGCCAGCGAAGAGCCATCCACTACTGACGAGCGCCAGCGAGTCGCATCCACTACGACGAGGCGCCAGCAGGGCCACATCCACTACCGACAGGGCGCAAAAGAGCCACATTCATTACTGACAGAAGCACCAACAGGGCCACATCACTACCGATGAGGCGCCAGCAGGAGCCACATCCACTACCGACGAGGCACCATCAGGAGCCACATCCACTACCGATGAGGCACCATCAGGAGCCACATCCACTACCGACGAGGCGCCAGCAGGAGCCACATCCACTACTGACGAGGCGCCAGCAGGAGTCACATCCACTACCGACGAGGCGCCAGCAGGAGCCACATCCACTACTGACGAGGCGCCAGCAGGAGTCACATCCACTACTGACGAGGCGCCAGCAGGAGGAAAACCCACCATTACCGAAGACGCTGATAAAATCCTCCTTCATGGCCGTCTCTGGATTCATTGTCCTATAAATATATTTTTATGGTTGTTGTTCTGAGTCAGCCACGTATGTGTTGATACTGCTGACAGTGGTCATATAGGTCCTGACATTGGTGTTACAGGTCCTGATGATGGTGTTACAGGTCCTGATGATGGTGTTACAGGTACTGATGATGGTGCTACAGTTCATGATGCTGGTCTTACAGGTCCTGAAATGGGTCTTACAGGTCTTGATGCTGGTCTTACACGTCCTGATGCTGGATTTAGAGGCCCTGATGTTGGTCTTACAGGTCATGATGCTGGTCTTACAGGTCCTGATGCTAGTTTTACAGGTCTTGTCGTTGGTCTTACAGGTCCTGAAGTGGGTCTTACAGGTCTTGATGCTGGTCTTACAGGTCATGATGCTGGTCTTACAGGTCTTGATGCTGGTCTTACAGGTCCTGATGCTGGTTTTACAGGTCTTGAAGTGGGTCTTACAGGTCCTGAAGTGGGTCTTAAAGGTCTTGATGCTGGTCTTACAGGTCCTGACTCTTTGGTCTTACAGGTCTTGATGCTGGTCGTACAGGTCCTGATGCTGGTTTTACAGGTCCTGAAGTGGGTCTTACAGGTCCTGAAGTGGGTCTTAGGTCTTGATGGTGGTCTTACAGGTCCTGAAGCTGGTCTCAGGTCTTGTGCTTCTCTGGGTCCTGATGCTGGTCTTACAGGTCTGTGACGTTCTTACAGTCCCTGAAGTGGATCTTACAGGTCTTGATGCTGGTCGTACAGGTCTTGATGCTAGTCTTACAGGTCTTGATGCTGGTCTTACAGGTCCTGATGCTGGTTTTACAGGTCTTGAAGTGGGTCTTACAGGTCCTGAAGTGGGTCTTACAGGTCTTGATGCTGGTCTACAGGTCTTGATACTGGTCTTACAGGTCCTGATGCTGGTCTTACAGGTCTTGACGTTGGTCTTACAGGTCCTGAAGTGGGTCTTAGGTCTTGTGCTGGTCTTACAGGTTTTGATGCTGGTCTTACAGGTCCTGATGCTGGGTCTTGAAGTGGGTCTTACAGGTCCTGAAGTGGGTCTTACAGGTCTTGATGCTGGTCTTACAGGTCCTGATGCTGGTCTTACAGGTCTTGATGCTGGTCTTACAGGTCCTGATGCTGGTTTTACAGGTCTTGAAGTGGGTCTTACAGGTCCTGAAGTGGGTCTTACAGGTCCAAGTGGGTCTTAGTCTGATGGTGGTCTTACAGGTCTTGATGCTGGTCTTACAGGTCCTGATGCTTGTCTTACAGGTCTTGATGCTGGTCTTACAGGTCCTGATGCTGGTCTTACAGGTCTTGACGTTGGTCTTACAGGTCCTGAAGTGGGTCTTACAGTGTCTTGATGCTGGTCTTACAGGTTTTGATGCTGGTCTTACAGGTCCTGAAGTGGGTCTTACAGGTCTTGATGCTGGTCTTACAGGTCCTGATGCTGGTTTTACAGGTCTTGACGTTGGTCTTACAGGTCCTGAAGTGGGTTACAGGTCTTGATGCTGGTCTTACAGGTCCTGATGCTGGTCTTACAGGTCTTGACGTTGGTCTTACAGGTCCTGAAGTGGGTCTTGGTCTTGATGCTGGTCTTACAGGTTTTGATGCTGGTTACAGGTCCTGAAGTGGGTCTTACAGGTCTTGATGCTGGTCTTACAGGTTTTGATGCTGGTCTTACAGGTCCTGAAGTGGGTCTTACAGGTCTTGACGTTGGTCTTACAGGTCCTGAAGTGGGTCTTCAGGTCTTGATGCTGGTCTTACAGGTTTTGATGCTGGTCTTACAGGTCCTGATGCTGGTCTTACAGGTCCTGATGCTGGTCTTACAGGTCCTGATGCTGGTTTTACAGGTCAGACGTAATAGGTCATACACGTCACGGTCGTACGTCACATAGGTCATACGTCACACTGGTCACCACGTCACTGGTCATACGTCACACTGGTCATACACGCCGTCACACTGGTCGCCACATCCCCACACTGGTCATACAAATCTGGGGTCATACCTCACATTAGCCGCTAAAGTCACACTGGTCGCCACGTCACCTGGTCGCCTAAGTCTGAAGGTCGCCGCACATCACCTGGTCATACGTCACAGGTCATACACGTCACACAGGTCGCCACACGTCACACAGGTCGCCACGGCACTGGTCATACACGTCACTGGTCATACACGTCACAGAGGTCGCCACGTCACACTGGTCATACGTCACACTGGTCATACGTCGCACTGGTCGCCCTGTCACCCAGGTCATACACGTCACCGGTCGCCGCGTCACACAGGTCGCCACGTCTGGGTCATACGTCACACTGGTCATACAAGTCTGGGTCATACGTCGCCGCACTTGTCACGTCACACAGGTCATACACGTCACACAGGTCATACACGTCACAGAATTCATTCGTCACACTGGTCATACGTCACACTGGTCATACGTTTTACACAGGTCATACGTCCTGAGTCATACACGTCACACTGGTCGCCACGTCACACTGGTCGCCGCGTTACTGGGTCATACGTCACTGGGTCATACACCTCACATTGGCAAACAAGTCACACTGGTCATACACGTCACACAGGTCGCCACACGTCACACGGGTCCATACATCACACAGGTCGCCACGTCACACTGGTCGCCTGAAATCTGCAGAAGGTCGCCACACGTCACACTGGTCGCCACGTCCACACTGGTCATACACGTTACACAGGTCGCCACACGTCACACCAGGTCATACACGTCACACACTGGTGTACACGTCACACTGGTCATACGTTACATAGGTCATACACGTCACAGGTCACCACACCATTGGCCGCCAAGTCACACTGGTCTTACACGTCACAGGTCGCCACGTCACACACAGGTCTTACCCACGTCACCCTGGGTCGCCACGTCACACTGGTCGCCTACAAGTCACCAGAGGTCATACACACGTCACACTGGTCGCCTGAAGTCACCTCGTCGCCTGAAGTCACCTGGTCGCCGTCACCAGGTCATACGTCACCACTGGTCGCCACACGTCACACAGGTCATACGTCACCTGGGTCATACCGTCACACTGGTCATACAAGTCACAGAGGTCATACACGTCACCCTGGTCGCCACAAAGTCACACAGGTCGCCACGTCACACTGATCGCCTGAAGTCACACACTGGTCATACACGTCACACAGGTCGCCACGTCACACAGGTCGCCACCCACGTCACACAGGTCATACACACGTCACACAGGTCGCCTAAGTCACACACTG